TCTCTCACTCTCTCTCTCTCTTTTTCTCTCTCTTGCTCGCTTGCACCATCTTTCTCTTGCGAAGCATCGCATGTTCTAGTAAGCCAAATCCCTCCAATGGCTTGTCAAAGAGCAAGTGATGGAAAAGAAGCTAGGCTAGTTATGTGCCTCGCGCTAGACATTGTAGGCCCAACAAAGTGTTTGGCTTCGTGTGCCCTGACGTGGCTGCACCCGTTTTTAGTCGTGCCTTCTTCTGGTTTAGGCTTGGATGGCAAGGGTACCCAAGATAGGTTCATAGGCTCCAAAGACAGAGCTGCCTTGTGAGGTCCCAAGGCATTGTGAGGCCTTTTTTTTTGTTTTGTTTTGTTTTGTTTTGTTTTGTTTTGTTTTTTTTTTTTTAGATTGGGGTTCTCAATGTTATTTTTAGAAAGGAGATCAACAGGAATTGAAAAAGCTTGGCCCATGAGCTTCTAGTCTCGAGCCTTGGCCACTATCCAACAATGATTCTAGCTTGTCAAAAAAAGAAAAAGAGAAAAAAAGGTGATGAAACGAAAAGAACTGGCACCTCCAAGGGTGCCATTACGAGGTAGGGAAAAAAATGTTTACTCCCCTTTGGGGCTTGGCCCGCGGCCTGTACTCATACCCTCTATCGGGTTTGGCCAGCGGCCTTTGCATTCTACTTCCCAGCGAGGGAATGGCCAGCGGCCCTAAGCACCCCATGGTGTGGTGGCACCTACTCCGAAGTCCACAAAAAAATCCTCATACTTTTCACACAACGGGTGCAAGCCCTTGTGGCCCGCTCCCATTTCCAGTGCAGTTGTTCGCCGTGTGGCCCGGCTGGCCACAGTGAAAGCAAGCGCCACGGAAGCCTCTCTGGGCGCCGCTCGGTGAGGGTCAAACTTCTCTCCAAAGCCCATAGGGCAGCGGCCTCCAACGGGATGGTCGCGACCATAGGAGCCTTGCGCGCGTTTCATTGCCGCAACGTCTGCAACTGCTTGCTTGAAGGGTCGTGAGGAGAGGACACTCTTCTCTTGGTAGAGCTTGAAGCAGTGTGCCGTCTTGAAGTCGGAGGCGTCGGCGACTTGGAGGAGCTCGAAGCGCTTGGCGATGAGCGCGTATGCCGCCTCGAAGTATTCAAGCGAGCTCGATGTGTCGCCATGGCGCATCTTGTGCTCCGCGTGCTTCAGGTACGCTCGCAGGTCTTCCAAGAACTCGGCTTGCTCGCGTACCCCAGCGTTGTTGAACGATGATGCCGGGATGGTTGGGTTAGAGAAAGGAAGAGGTGGGAGGTGCTTGGTGGGTGCGAAAAAATTTGCGTGTGTATGAGCCTCACCAGCCTCGTTGTCGGAGTCACTCTCTTCCTTGGCATTGTCTTGCGTGGCAGCGGCGAGCTCCTTCTCGACGCGGGCGGTCTTGGAAGGACGAACGTGATGCGACGACTCCTTTTTTGCATCTTCAATTTTAGTCGAGGCAGAAATTGTAGTCGCAGCTGCTGTAACCGCGGGTGTGTTTTGCTGTAACAGCGCCAGCAGTGCCGCCACTTACTCGTTGGTCAAAGCAGGGGCGGCAGGTGTTGGCGCGCTGGACGAGGCCGCCCTGCAGCCTTGCTTGTTGTGACACGCGGGGCCCGCCCTGCCGTTCGGCGCCTTCTGCGCGCTGGCGTCAGCAGGAGACGCGCCATCCGCAGCGTGCGTCTACTGCTGCTCGCTGGCGCGTGGCCCACCAAGCTCAACTTGGTGGACCTCGCCATTGCGTAGCAACATGTCGAGGGCAGAAGGGGCGAGGTCGCCCTCTGCCCGACGCTTGTTGCCGCGATCACCCGCCATTTCACGGGCGTTTTTCTCGGGTTCTGAATTATTCGGAGTGTCGACGGGCGGATATTCAGCACGATTGGCCAGGGTGCTAGGAGGGGCCATGGCTGCCTCGTTATGTGTGAGGATATCTGCGAGAAGTTGGGAGGGTGCTTCCCCGCGAGGGAGAGTTTTCAACTTCGCCAGAGTGGCGGAGCGAAAAAAGCAGGATGGGAACTCAATTGAACTTGAGCTGGGAAAAATGAAAAACGTGGGTGGAGGAAGAATGACCTACAACCCCATCATATGGTTAGAGAAGGGCGAATAGCTCGCTTCGACGATGCCTTAGATTGCGTTACAAGCAGCTTCGCATTCACAATACACAATTTTGAAAGTGTGAACACTTAAAAATTTATATATCATCTCCAATAGTGACAATTTTTGTACTTGTAGGCAGGGTCTTCGCTAGCCTAGTACTTACGCGGGTGGTGAAGGGTGGGTGGGGGTGGGTTGGGGGAGTCTCAGAGTTAGAATTGTGTAGTAGAATGAGAATGTTTAGGGGTATATAGCTAGTGGGTTGTACTCTATGGCATGACCCTACGTAGTCTACTAAACATACACACATATGTTTGACACACCCCCTAGACTAGATAGTGGCAGAGCTTGGTGAGAGACAAGCAGCTCAGGGCGGCACTACTAGTCCAGCCTTTGAGGCAGGGGTCTAAAGACCACTCAAAAGAGTACAAACAAGGCAAGAAAAAAAGACCAGGGCGGCACTTCTAGTCCAGCCACTAGGAGAAAGCCACAAGGCCAGTCAGGACAATATATAAAGAGTTAGACACAATCTAGCTCCTAGCAAATGAGGTGCTACAGGAACGAGACCAAGCTGTACGCAGTGCCGCTGATGATCTTTAGGTGCAAGCGCCTTCGTAAAGATATCAGCTGTGTTGGCACCAGAGGCCAAGTGTACTACGTGGGCCTGGCGACGCTGCTGTAGCTCGCGCATGAGGAAGTACCGCAGCTAGATGTGCTTCGCTCTGCCCTCGAGTCTAGGCTCCTAACACAGGAGGATCATGGCCCTGTTGTCAGCGTACAGGACCAGGACAGAGCAAGAAAGTCAGCGAGTGGAGCTCCTGTGCCGACATGGCACCGGCGTAGATCTCAGCCTTACAGCTTGACTGGGCAACAGACGACGAGCGGGTGGACCTCCACGAGACAGCACCTGCACCAAGGCTAAAGTAGTAGTCCTGGGAGGACTTGAGAGTCTCGGCATCGTCAGCCCAAGAAGCGTCTGTGTGCCAGGTAAGGACCACTAGTCTGCGTCCTCCTAGCAAACGCCCCATGCGTGATGTATTTGCTAGATAACGCAGAACCCTGTTAGCTGCAAACCAGTGCTGTTGTTGGTGTCTGCCGGAGGCAACAAAGCGGGCCAGGATGCTGAGAGGGTATGCGAGATCTGGACGAGTGCAAGTCATCAGGTACATGAGGCAACCCACCACCTCTGCGTAAGGACCACTAGGCTCTACAGCCTCCTCCGGGACTGGAGCAGAGAGCCTGTGATCTCCTGGCAGAGGGGTGGGCTGTGCGGAAGAGAACTGAGGGCCGAACCTCTGAAGGACCTGACGCACCAAGTGTGACTATGAGAGAGTGATGGTGCGCGCTGCTATGTCCCTGGAGATGTGCAAGCCAAGGTAGCGGTGCAGCTCTTCTAGGTCAGTGCAGGTGTGTCTCCTCAGCAGCTCGACCTTCACGGAGGTCAGCGCGTCTTTGTCTACAGTAGCAAAGACTAGATCGTCTATGTAAACACGAGTGTAGAACGGAGTCTGGCCAGAACGGACGAAGAGCGAGGGGTCCGCAGTCGACGGGAAGACCTGCAGGTCAGCAAGTGTAGCACGCAGCATGTCGTGCCACTCATAGGGCGCCTTGCGCAGGCCGTAGACGGGGCGACGGAGGAGCCACTCGGTACCAGGGGGAAAGGTACCGGAGAAGCCCGGGGGGCAGCGCAGGTAGACCTGCTCATGTAGACCCAGCTGCTCAGCCACCGTGTTTCCCAGTCCCCGGCCGCTTCAACCGGCCCTCTCCACCGTCCTGCACCGCGCCCCACTGTGCTGCACCGCTCAGCACCGCATTGCACCGCGCCCCACTGCACTGCACCACGCCCCACCGCACTGCACCACTCTGCCACGCGTGGCACCGCACTCCACGGTGCCCCACCACACTCCACCGCACAGCACCGTACAGCACTCCTCCCCACTGCTCCTCGTCGCTCCGTCCCGCCCTTCACCGCCTGTTCGCGGCTGCAGCAGCCTTAATGACGGACTCGGTGCTGCACTTTGACGCGGAGGGTCAGCCGGTTGAGTTCAACGCATGGCTCGTTTCACCTCCTGCTGCCCGTTTCACCAGCCCTCTCCACCGTCCTGCACCACGCCCCACCGTGCTGCACCGCTCACCACCGCACTGCACCGCTCTGAATCGTGTGGCATCACACTGCACGGTGCCCCACCGCACACTACCGCATTGCACCGTACAACACTCCTCCCCACTGCTCCTCGTCGCTCATTCACCGCCTGTTCGCGGCTGCAGCGGCCTTCATGGCGGACTCGGTGCTGCGCTTTGATGCGGAGGGTCAGCCGATTGAGTTCGACTCATGGCTCGTCGACCTCCGCCGTTACCTCACTGGTCAGCGGCAAGACGGCCACTCCTTGGCTGTCCACATTGACGGTACGCTCCCGTGCCCTGACCCCCCAGTTGCTCTCCCCGCTGACCCCACGTCTGCTGATCGTGAGTTCGCCGCCGCTGCTGCCCTTGCCTGTGCTATCTGGCTGTCGCGTGACGTTGTTGTTCAGCTTGCAATTTGCCATGCCCTCCCCCTATCTGAGAGCCCCCGAAATAAGTCGGTCAGGGCTGCGCAGGAGTTCCTAGAGGCTGTTGTCGAGCGTTATTCCACCCCGTCCTCTGCCTCTGCCGGACGCCTGATCCTTCCCATGCTCTTCTCTGATCTCGCGTCTTTCCCCACTGTCGCTGACCTGGCCGCGCACCTGCGCACACTCGACGCTAGCTGGCGCGCTGCATGCACTGAGGCCCAGCTTCGTGTGTTTCGGCCCCCTATCTGCTTTACCCTTTACCTTCTTGCCACCCGCCTCCCCGACCGACTTGCCACTGCCCGCGACCACTTTCTTAGTCTGCACCCCGCTGACCTCACCCTCTCCAACTTTGTTGACACCCTGTCTGCCATAGAGACCCGTCAGCGCTCTATCGCCCAGTCTACCGGTACTGCGCCGGTCCCTATCTTTCAGGGTTGTGCTCCCGTT